GACATCGTATCACTATATCCCACAGCTTTTATAGGCGCGGAATTGTTTAACATTTCACAGCCCAAAGACATTTGCTTACACTTATTTTGGCCTGTTTAAATAGCGTACATTCGGTTTTTCTTTTAACTTCTTTATGGGTTATCCCCCCAAAATTTCTTAGCTTGTCTAATGCCAATTTAATAGCACCCAAGATTTCTCTCCCGCTCATCATCTCCAGCCAAGCTAATAATGCAATAAACTCAATAGACTCGAACTTTAATTAAAATTTGATCATCAGACAGCCGAGATCCAACACTTCCACCAATGCCCACGTATTGAGTACGGTAGCCGGGAAAGCTACTACGTTCGACGAATGTCTTGTAAATGTTACAAATCTTAAATATTACGCATTAATTTTCGGTAGCGAAAAGGAATTACAAGCAATCGCCAGAGTCGAAGTTCGTAAGCTCAAACTCGGACTTGAACTTTACAGCTCTCCCCAGAGTCATTCGACTAATGAACTTTTTACTGAGGCGCACCACCGCTCTCCACGACGCGTCGCTCCTGGTTGGTTTCGGCTCCACGGAGTAAGATTGAGGGAAACAGCGAGAGAGAGAGATCAGGGGCGGAGGCTGCTTTGGGTTCAGCTGACTTGATTAATGGAACCGACAATGTGTTGAACATCAAAAGGTAGGAAAATAGTAATTTACAATATATACGCAGCGCCAAGCCAAAGATGAGCTACAAATTTAATTTATTATGCCCTAACAAAGGGTGTTATAATTAATTGAAATGGTTTGTGACCCATTCAAATAAACATAAAATATTCTTATAATCTGTTATCAGATTAATGTACATCATAAAAAGTTTCTTATAGATAGCTGCAAAACTTGATTTTTTTTGGGCTACTTGCTAAAATATGGATTTGCTGGTTCAAGAATGTCTTGAATCAAATATTATTAAGACTTTTTTTATACTTACAAAATAAAACAGTTTCTTAAACAATTTTCCACCCGTTTTTCGATCGAGAAGGTGAGTTTACATATTAACTAATTCCTTGAAAAAAGTGATACATTATTTAAAATAAATGTATATTTGAATTCGATTGAAGAAGTAGATGCCATTTTCCATACTGGTGGCTTGATTAGCCGTGAAGACTATAAAAATAGTCGCTAATGAAGTTTACCCCTCGAAAATGAGTTTGATCAACGATCAACAAAGGGTATGCAGTCTTCGCTGTCTATAGGGTACACAATAGTTCTTCTTAATAATTTCTTATAATTCAGACATAATTATAAATGGTTAGCCAGACAGCGTGCGAGTACCTGTTGCAATGTTCGCGATGATGGTCCAATTATAGCAGCAATACGCACTCTGTGCAGGACATGTGTATGGATCAGGCGTTGCCTGGGAGATAAGAAGCGCAAAACCTCAAAATATTTACAGGGCCAGGCGACAGACTGATCGGGTAAATGAGCGGACTGTCCCAAAATATTTGGCAAACTGTGTGCGAATAAAATCCAGTTCCAGAAGGCAGGATTCAGGCAGGCTTTCAGTACGGTTCCTAAGGTGGCGAAAGGATTTGCCGTACAGACAGCGACAGACAAATGCCGGACAGCATAAACACCGGACTGGAGGATTAGGCCGTTCGGAAATAATCCTTTGCTGCCAGGAAGCATGCAGTAAACGGCGCACTAGCCCATCCTTTCGTAGCAGCACAACCTCGACTCACTTTACGACAGATCATAAAGTTTTATTTGCCGTCATTCTTTCGTCCTGGCCGAAGCGCATGCCCAGCACTCAGCCCGAGTGGGAACCCCTTTTGGGCGAAAGTCGCGCACAGGCAAGAGTTAAGCGGAGAAAGGCTTAGCTTTCCAGCTCGAGCTCAACGCTACGGAACGAAGTCAAAGTCAGGTAGCTAGAGATAGGCAGAGGTCCTGCCTGGCAGGACGAGAACGAGGTAGTTTTGCTTGTCGCAAGGGCCGATAATCCCTGCTAATGAGGTGTTTGCTGCAAATGTGAGACAGTGAAACATTTAAGGCTGAAAACTAGAAAGTCTGTAAGTCAAGGATAATCGAGGATAATGCGCACAAGTCCTCTAGATATCCAGGCTGAATGAAATGCTATATGTTAATCCAACTCTCTTAAGCGGCTCTTTTAGTCGCCTCTTACGACAAGCAGTGCCATACTGTGGTGGTTATTCTTATGCCCCCGCCAACCACACGGGTGATTCATTAACTAAAAATATATATAATGGCAAGCTATATTTCCTACAAGTAATTATAGATAGAGCGCCACACAATAAAATACAGATATTTTCTTACCTAAGTGCGTAGCTATAACCGCTTGAGAATTATAAGCAAGCAAATGGCGACAAAGACTGTGACTCTAGTGTAAAAGATATCTTGGAAGTATTTTCCAGCTCTTTGAGAAAGTATCGCCACACTATCAACTAGTTAGTTAGTAGATATGAGAACATATTGGAATAGATTTTAAATATATTTCAAGCTCTGCTTATGCTTGGGCCCCTTAATAATGACGGATTGCATTTTAAATAGCTCACGCCACGAACCCAATCAATGTCTATTGGCAAACATTTTGGTTTCGTTTGTCACGACGAACTACTGTCTGGCTGGTTCTGTTGGCCGTCTTCGCCGATAGACACATGCAGTTTGTGCTGTCCTGTGTCCTGGTGTTCGTCCTGCGTCCTCTTGCACGCCTTGCTGTCCCACAGCGGAGCGCATGCTGTTAGCTCACGAATTGATTTGTCAAATGGAGGCGCACAAGGACATTGCGATCATTAACCATGATTGCAGGACTCGTCGAAGGTCGTTGCGCAGTCGGACATTGTCAACACTTTGTAGCTGCGACCTGGCACCACCAACTGTGTTTGTTTCGCGACTAAAGATCTCGCCTCATCTCTCTTCCTCTCTGCCAGTTGGAGTTTTATTAATAAACACATAGAAGGCAGAGCTAGAGATAGGGAGAGTCAGTAAGAGAGAGCGAGAGAGAAAGAGAGGGAGAGAGACAGAGAGACGCTTTTGATCTTGCAAATAGTCGTAATCGATTTGGAATGCTTGGCGGGACCCGCTGCTGCTGCTCCTATTTGTGTTCCCTCTTGGTTAGCAACTTGTCAGCTTCCTTTTGGCAACTTCACCCAGCAAGTGTCTTCTTCTGTTCAGTAGATGCCACCACAAACCAACTGCAATTTTTGAGTTAACACGCTGGAACCGATATGCTATATTAGGGAAGCAAAAATCGTAGAAGATGCGGACAAATATTTCCGAATAGAGCATACATTGTTAAAAAAAAAAAAACAGAAAGGATCGAGTATGATAACCTATATAGTATTATTAAAATGTAAATCGCTTACATTTTCCATTTAGCTATGCTAATTGGCGATCTACAAAACCCATTTTAAATGAACTTTAATTAACTAGTGTAGCTTTCTACTGCGTCTACCCGCAGACAGGTGGCGCCCTTCAGTAGCTCCCCAAACGGGGCGGTATATAGTGCGCACGTAAGTCTGGCCGGGCTCATGCCATCTAATACAATAAATGGACAATGCTAATGTGCTCACCTGTGCCCAACTGACATTATAATTAATGACAAATAGTCAAAAGCGACGGCTGAAGGGCAATCATAAGAGAACAATGGGCATATTATGTGAAATGCGGCGAGCGAGGGCAGTTCGATTTTCGATATACTCAGACGTCTTATCGCCCGGGCGATACCTAGTTGCTGCTGCATATTAATATTAATGGTTTATTATTATATGTATGACCTGGTGCCTCAGTGCTGCCGCTGCTCCAGCAACAGCTCCGCTCCAGTCGGGCTCTGTCCAGTTCGAGGGGCTCCTTTTGGGTTTGCCGTGTGCTTTGTTCACGCCGCGATTGCTTCACTGCACTGACGCCTGGCGTGACGATTTTAATTTTTTTTTATTATTATTATGTATATTGCGGCACAGGGAGCTTGCAGTCGCCCCCGTGACTGCCACAAGAGAGCGAGACGAGCAGACAAATAGAGGGAGAGCGCAAATGTCGATGCTTGAGTTATGCATTGGACAATAGTTGTTGTTGATGTTTGAATACTCTAATTACAGTATGAAATGGAGTTTATTGTGTACTGACTGATAACTAGCTAAGATGTTAAAGTTACAGTTTGAGAACCATGTGATTCCTTTACAGTTTAAGAGTCACTAACGCTCCTTCGCCAGTTTTATAGTTCCCTATTTGAAAGTATATACCTTACTGTTATAGTTGTACAGCCACTAGGCTTTGGGAGTTATCCACCCGCCACTAGTTTAAGTGTAACAGAGGTTGGCTAACAGTTTTAGTATCATAATCAAGAAATATTTTTGCTACCTACTTTCAAACGTTATTACAGAGTATTGTACAGTCGGTTGCACGCGGCTGGAACGCTTTTACTAGGTTTTTATGGTAGCCATCGTAATTAGTCGCACGCTTCGCAGCCAGCGCCACCTAGCGACCAGGAGAGTAACGAACGACATTGCCCGACATTCCTTGAAGGCAGGCCCCAAGCTAATGAAGCCCCCTTCACGGTGTGCGCCAAATCCGACAATGTAGCCGTGGACCCGGCCTCAGTTGCAGCCGCAGCTCGGCTTCAGGTCGACTTCATGGACGCGTGCAAATTCCGTTGAAAAAAAAGGAGTTTGAACTTTTTTGTTTCTCACTTTATCTGCATTTTGCCTGCAATTTACGTACTCTGAGTTTATTTTCTTTATTTACCACCGACTAAATGCGGCATGCAGCACGTTTGCGGCTCAATGTTGGCTTCTATATATGCATTTATTTGTATAGTTTTTGTATGCGGAAATTAAGTTTGACTTGTGGCAGAGTTTTTCAGTGGAAATGATTAAGAACTTGTGAACATGAAATTATATGGAAGTTCTCTTAGGATATTTTATTTGTGCTGTAAGGAATTGCAAATTGTGAGGGATTGGCTTGATTCCAAGTAGTGTGAAAAATAATCTGGATTCTTCAATTACTCCCCATTATAAATTAACAATTTTCTTGTTATTTTATTAAGCGTTTTGGTTGTGGTTGTCGATTCCCCAATATATACAAAATATACACAAGCTTCGATAGAAATTCTTTAAAATATGGCGGAACGGCAGCGCCGCAGGACAACCTTGTCCACCTGGACACGCTCCACGCCATAGCCATGCCAGAGCGTATCCGGCGGCTTGTTCCAACTGACAAAGTAGGTCTTGTGTACGGCGGCCAGTTGAGCTCTGGGCCGGCTGGCAAAGCGCCGCCGGAAGGGCCAGAGGAACCAGTGCAGCGGACCGCGGCTGATGGCATGTGCAGATGGATCAGCTGGCGGCGGCGATTGGAACGTCTCCAGTTGCAGCTGCAGTGATGCAGCCGGTGCGCTCCGCTGTGGCAGCGGCTGCTCCACTATGACGGACTCCGGCACAGATTTGGAGGCGGGCGTGGAACTGGAACCGGCCTGCATTTGTTGCTGGCCATAAGCGGGTAGAATTCGCGTGCTCGAGGCAAAAACCTCGACGTCCTCATCGTCGTATGAGTTCCAGGGTCTATAGTCAGTTTGAGGTGCGGGTTGTTCCTGCTCCTCCAAGATGGGCGAAACACGGCTGCCGCGATAACATTTAAAACAGCGCGGCAGCCGGGAGCCCAGTTTGTGCTGCAGCTCAACGGGCGCTGGCTGGAACACCTTGGCCTGCTGCTCCTGTGGCATCTTGACCAGCATAAAGTGATCGTTGAGCAGGCAAACATCCGATACCTTCTCACACTTTTGCTCCTCTCCAAAGAACGCATCCAAGTCGACGCTTTGCGGATAGATGCGATAATCCTCCCTGTGCAAGCCCAGCAATTGTTGTCGTTGAAGCGCCAAAAGGCTGGCACTTCGCTGCGTCTGCAATGGGTTGCCCACCTGGTTGACACATCTCACTAGGCCGCTAGCCTGCTGCTCGACAACGGACGCGGTGCGGCAAATGCTGCGGCTTTTCATATAACTCCAGTTACCATAGCGCTGCTCGAAGATTCTGGCAAAGATCTGGGCACTCTTCCGATTGCATGGCTGTCGCTGCTGCGGTATCAACGCCGTGGACAACGACATTCTGATGCGGTCACAGTATGTTGGAATGAGTTCCTATATGAAATGTTACACATCAGATAGTTAGCTGACAGTTAAAGCAGTGCATTCAATTAAGCTTTCAAGGTCAAAGGCTGCGAGTGTGCGACTAGCTGATACCCTTTACCAAGCTTCGCAACACGCAATCGCAAGGAATTATGCATATCCACAGACTTGAACTTTCAGACACACATTAAAACACGTAAGTTTCTTCCTATCTTATTCATATAATACACATTGTGTTTGGCGAATCCAGGCTATTATTTTAAAAGTGACTTAGAGCTCTTAATCTGTTTCGAACAGTGCAAAAAGAAGTCGATGGTTCTGTTAACGGTTTGAACCAGTGACACAATTTGAGACTGGCTGCATGCAAGTGGCTTAAGACATCCGTAAAATTGGGTTCTAATATGAACCTTGTCGCATTTCTCCAATTATATTTATAACTTATATTTACATATTGTTAAGTATTATTAATTTTATATTTTTTTTAAGGGAAATCCAGTTGTGACAGCGTTTATTAGAGTATGTTAAAGAAGAACTGTTGCACACGCGTGGAAATCTATACGTAATTGAGCTGAAATTGCAATTGAATTTCGAACGTAAGTGGAAACGTTTTTCTTGTCACAGCAGACAGCGCCCCGCCTCCTATCGATATTATCTAAAAGCCAGGCAACGTTTACTCTTTGACTTTTGGCGGACTGCAGACTGGCGCCATGAAACCAAGCCAAGGCGAAAGTCGGGCCAGGACATGAGTTGCTTCCGCGTCATCCAATGCCAACGGCAACAAACAACAGCCATAAGAACAGCAACAATAACGACAATCAAAAAAAACAAAAACAAAAAATGTATTTAATGCGGCACTGGCAACACGAAAGTTTTATTTATTATTTTGACAGGTAAACAAATCACGAGCTCAGCACAAACACAAACACAAAAGCCGCAAGCTAACACACACACACAAGCACACGAGCACACACATGCACATGCACGCTTACATTTTGCCTTTTGCCGTGTATTCGTATTCAATTGTGCCGTTACTTTTTCGCTGCAGTGCTCGTCGCTTGGCTCGCCAATGACAACTGAAGCCGACTTTTAGGCAGCGCTATGTTTGCGCTGCCACAACGTAACGTAAGCGAAACGTAACGTAACGCGAGCGTAGCGGCTGCTGCTGCTGCTGCTCATTTGCATATAGTTTGTTTGTTTGTTTATTTGTTTATTTGTTTGTTTGTTTGTTGCATGCCGGCAGACGCACACATGACACCATAGACAATTAAAAACGTTTGTATTTCCATTTGCATGTGTCCATTAAAAGGACATTTGAATGCAGTTAGTCAAGTTATTATAGCTATTCCGTTAATGGATTAATGTACACATAAAGTCAATGTCAATAAATGTTGCTAAGGACATGTACTACATATTGTAGCTGTATTTTATAGCCATTATAATGAATAAAATTCATATAAGAAAGTTGTGCACAACAGTCTCTTAATTTGGATTGAGCCATTTTATACTAAAGATAGTTTATAGATCTTAAGATTGTGCACGCCTTGACGGGGTGGTAAGGAAAAGGAGTGATTAATTGGGTAATTTTGTGATTGTGGGACGCGTGGCGCTAATTTGTTTATTTTGTGTTTCGAATCTAATTAAAAATATGAATGCATCAATCCAATTTGATCGTTCAGAAAGATAGGGGTCAAGTGAATTCAACAAGTATTAACTATATTTATGCATAAGACAATATACTTATGTTTATTACAGCTCCCCTGAGCTTATCAATTATTTTTAACTTTAATATATCCAAAAGTAAACTTCCAGACTTCCATTTGCACCCAAACTTCGAATCGTTCTTTAGTTTGCTTTTGTCATTATTGATTGTTAATGCACGCTAATGATATAGCACAGTATATATTGACTATAGCGATAAGAGGGGGCGGGGCTAGCCATAAAGTCTGAGCATTAATTTAGCCTTTGCGTTAAATTGCCCATTTGGGGAATAGGAATACGGCTATTACTCTTACAGCCGGAGGGTTGTAGTTCCGCTTCGGTTCTGATTCAATCAGTTGGAGCTAAACACAAAAATGGAGACAGCCCTAATTTATGGCAAACAGAACAACGAAACTGATTTGACGATTTACATAATAGTCACGAAAAGTTGAATGTTTGATTTATGTGAACAGATTTATCATACTTTTTTTGGAGGAGATTGTCACTTTGAGAGCTAAAAAATAGGTATACAAAGCTAAGTATCACACCAAGTCGAACTTATAAATATATTTTCTATTATATATTATGTTGTTCATGATACGACACATTATCTTCTTTTAAACTTTACTCGGTCTAGGCCCGAGTAGGAGTACAACAAAAAAATCTCTCGATATAGTATATATAAACTTAAGTCGATAAATAAATGAATGATTACATGAAACATTGCCTGTTTTTTGCATATATATATAATTTATATACAGCGTATCCCCTAGTCGAGCTTTCACTCTCACACATGTTAGTTGAGGACAATTGCACTTGCAGCAACTGTTTCAGTTACGTCACGTAGATAGTTCTTCTTGGTTTTGACATAGAGCCAACAACTGATCATCAAGTGCAACTGGAAGAGCAAATTGACACCAATTATGCGAAAGGGCCGTCGGTCGGAGCTGTGTCCAATTAACCTTAACTGACCTTCTCCAACAGGGAAGCATATGCAACAGGGAAGCATATACTTTCAGAACAAAACAAAATACTGGTTATATTGCAGACTTAAAGAGAGAAAGGGAGTGGCAAAGAGATAGAGAGAGAGAGAGAGGGACGTAAAGCGGAACAGATTAACAATGAGATAATGAAAAGTTTCAGTGAAGGACAAGCGAGGAACAGAACGCAGCAGCAGCAGAGCAGAGCAGAGCAGCTGCCCAACCCAACGCAAGTTTATTTGTTCGGTATGCAGCTCATTTTGTTCGATGTGAAATGATCTATGTATTTATTAAGTTGGAACATACTGAACTTGAACTTGGGCCGCGAACTGTTGCCGCGTCATCAACATAACGACAACAACCAGTCGGGTTTGATACATGGGACGCGGTTTTGTCTGCGCAAAGCTCCAAAAACGGTAAATCATGCAAAAACAACAACAACAAGTAAGAGGTGAATCGACTACAAAATACCCTGTACTAGAAGTGGAGCGCATGGAGAATGCATTCTTAAAGAAAGCTGACTGAGAGAAGTTTTCAAAGGTATGGAAATGACTGAAAGTGGAAAATATATGTGGCTGTTACATACATTGGCACAACTTCATAATGCCCATTTTTATCAATTTGTAATGGGTATGCGGCATTAAAACAATAAAGAGACACATAATGAAGCTGCATATCAGCTTTTGTTTTTAACTTGTCAACCGAAGGTCGCGCCTCTGCGTTTGTTTGGATAAACAAAAACATTTTGAAATGTGGCGTCCTTGACTTGACGCTCAATATCTGTCAGCAAGGATCACTGAGAGCAGATTGCTCTCTTTCTCTCGCTCTCTCTCTCTCTCTCTCTCTCTCTCACTCTGTCCGTCGTGCTCTCTCGATTTGAAGCTGGAAGCTTGGCGAGGTTGCGTTGGCTTGGCGCGCGCGCAGCTTAAATCAGTTGGTGGCAGGCAGCGAAACGCTTCGGTTGGATCGCGGTGGCAGCTGTATAAAAACGGAATACAACAACGCAGTTGCATAACGGAAATCCAGTAATTTGTGGCAAGTTGTTTTAGTGCAAATTGAAAACTCTTAAAGCTCACCTCGCTGTGTTGTCGCATTGGCTGCTTATTCAATTGCCAACATTTCCTCAGACATTGCAACATGTAGTTGCCACAAAGAGAATCGGCCAAAACATACGCCAATAACTGTGCGCTGCTTCGCAGTCGGTCTGACGCTCTTGAGCTGCCCATTGAGCTGTCTAACGGTAAAGCCGCCTGGCGTTGACTGTGTGTGTGCGTGTGTGTGTGTGTGTGTGTGTGTTGTGCCACATTGTAGTGCACGTAATTTTCATTTTAGTGGCGTCTGCGGCAAAAACGAAAGTGAAAATGTTGCTACAGGCTGCAGCTGGTTCGCCTACGCCGCCCACCACCCACCGTGCCCCCCTCCGCTCCAACGACTCATCAGCGTTTTCGTCTGCCGCTTGTTGAAATGAAAAGCGCCGCACAACACACTTAAATTTAAGCAGAAAACGTAAAAAGAAAATGCACGCGAATACGGAAGACAACTAGTTACAGCACTTGCATTGAAATTGTGACGTGACTTTAAATCAAACAAATAGCAAAATTAAAAGAAACAACTTTTTTTTTCGTTTTTAAATTTACAGGGCAATCGCAACGCCAGCCGAGAGTCAATTCAATTTGTTTAACATCATGATTGAGCGTGAAATTATTCAGTAAGTGCAAACTGTTAAATTAATTCAAATATTAGGTATACTAATGCATACTAACTAACACATGTACATATGTATGTATGTGCACACATTAACGACAACCTTATAGCAATTATATACATGCACCGTCATCGTCATAATGATTGTTTGTCAAAGTTCTAGCGGCGCGTATGCCCAACAACTAGGCCAAGATTTATCGTCAACACTCGCTGCCAAGTCCATAGCTTGGGCTGGACTTATAGATAGATATCGAGTCCATTATCATTATGCTCCACTGTGACAAAGTCCGTTGACCGTTTGAACGTTGCACAGCCGAAATGCACTTAAGACCGCATACAAATAGATAAATTAAATGCGCCACAAATTTGCAATTATTATTGTTCTTTGCGCTTTGTTTCAAAAAAAAAAAAAAAAAAACAAAAAAATGTGTTGCCGACTCGTTTGCATACCTGAGGCTCTTATGTTTTGTTTACAATTGAAACAAACATTTGTCAAATTCATTTGTGGTTCTTACCTTACGGTAATCAGATTGGGTAAATTTACAGGGAATTTATCGCGATTATGGAAATTTAAGGACGTTTAAGGAAATTTATCGATACGATGGAAATATACAACTGAATGTTATAAATAATATATTTTAAAATCATAATAATTATCCTCTATGTATCTGAATCACTGCGAAAATAAAAATTATTTGGTTTATATATAATTATTATTTCTTTATGAATTACCTTAAATATTGCAAAATAGAATTTTTCATAAAATATATCTAAAGCATAACATAGACAATCGTATCGATATTTATTCTGATATGACAGCTTATAATGACTTTTTGAAGAAAACGAAAATATCTCGTTAAATCCATATATTTAATATAGTTACAAAGACATCTTTAGGGCAATCAGGAAGAGGGCTTGGCGCGTTTACTGGGTACTTGACAAGACGCAAATATGGAAATGTTTAATGTTTATGTTTAATATTCAATCACGCACCAAAGAAGACTCTTACAATGGAAAGAGATTCTTTCTTCTATTGCAGCACCACAACAGCATCGAAGAGAATGTTTGCCTTCCTGCAGGACTTGCTGCAATTGCTGGTGCTGATAGTACGCGTGCTTCTGGAATTAACTACAGTCCTGGTGCAGTCGATGTTGCCCAGAAAGCTAAAGGATATTAGCGGCGAAATTGTCCTGGTAAGTGGCTCCGATAATACTGGGACTTTTTTGATAATATACCCATACATCACAACTGCAGATAACCGGCACCGGCCATGGCATTGGCAGAGAGCTGGCCTTGCAGTATGCCGCCTGGGGTAGCACAGTCGTGTGTGTGGACATCGACGAGAAAAACAACATGGACACTGTGCAGGAGGCTCAGCGCTTGAATCGTGGTGCCGTGCACAGTTTCAGGTGTGTGTGTTGCTCAATAGTAAATCCCTGATATTATATAAAATTTTACCCATTGCAGCTGTGATGTATCCAAGCGCGAACAAGTGTTAGCGCTGGCAAAGCGTGTTAAAACAGAGGTGGGCTCTGTGTCTGTGCTGGTGAATAATGTTGGCATAATGCCGACGCATCCCTTGCCACAGCAATCGGCCGAGGAAATACAACGTGTGTTCGATGTGAACGTATTCTCGCAATTCTGGACAATACAAGCGTTCCTAGATCAAATGAAGGAACGTCGCAACGGCCACATTATCTCTCTATCGTCCATTGCCGGTGTGGTGGGTCTGTCCAACTTGGTGCCATATTGTGCAACCAAGTTCGCAGTGCGCGGCATGATGGAGGCGTTGCATGAAGAGCTACGCGAGGGACCCTACAAGGATCTGGTAAGCACTAAGCGTTTCTGCAGCTGTAAAGTACACTTAATTTTAATGTTAATGTGATTTTTATGTAGATAAGAGTCACAACTATATTTCCATACATGACCAATACGGGGCTTTGCAAGTATCCAAAGGTCAAGTTTCCCACCATTTTGGGCCTGCTGGATCCCAAAGAAGTGGCAAAGCGCATTATAGAGGCGCATCGATCCAATTGTCTGGAGGTAACGATACCGAGCAGTCTGATGTACATCAACAACTGGACTCGACTGTTGCCAAGTAGTTGTGGAATTATGCTAAAGGACTACATTGACAGTGGTGTGGAGTCGGATTTGAATTAATTATACATTTGGCTCCTTTGTTATAGAATATGTTTACGTATATTTAGTGTTTTGGCATATTAAAGGTATTATTGGTCATCCCAAGCAATCGATAAAAGTGTTTTTATGCAAGCTCTTAGAAAATTGATTTGAATTGGCGCCAATTGGCCTTAGCACATTGTGATATTTATCGATATATGCATATTTGGTGGCATTATTTTTCTGGTCACACTTTTGTTTACATTTCACACATCAACAGCTGACGGCTGAATTGGTACGGCAACTCTAACTTTAACTCAGCTGTGGCATGACAACAAAGGAAAATGGCTTGTGAGGTGAAAACATTTGGAAATATTTTAGATTTTCGAAAGGTTCAGGAATACTTTGGACTTGGTCATGGTAAAACTTTAAGAATTGAGCATCAATATACGCCTATTAACTGTTTTCCAATACCAACTCAGACGACAATTGGCTTAATGGCATCAACTATGCCATGTCACCAACTGGAGAGACGATTGCCCTGGCGCAGGGTGAAAAGCTGGCATTTTTGACCACCTGCTGGGACAGTCATGGCCATGGAAACACTTATGCTCTCAGCTGGTGTGGCGAACTAGATGATCCCAATCAAATAGTCACCAGTCTGATCTGTATGCCCATGTTGCGTGCCACAGACATCGAGTGGACTTGCGTGGCAGTGGGCCTGGCCTCTGGCATGGTAATATTCTACACAGACACGGGAGTTAAGCTATTCTCGCAATGGTAAGCTATGGAACTTTATTGCTAACTTATTAATAACCTTTCTTTTGCCAGTTGCCAAGAGGAATCCGTCTTGGGCATTAAATTGTTGTCGCCAGCGCGTCACACAGAAGCCGATGCCTTGCTATACATTGTCTACAGCAGCTGCATGTGCTTTATCAATGGCCAGGACATATTGCCCATACTGGCCAATTGTCGTCAGACCATACAGCGCAGTGCCCTGGAGCGAAGCGTTTATCCCAGCGCTGATGTGGTGCCGTTTCAGAAATACAAGTTCAAGCGCCAGCGCGAATCCATTCTCAATGATGCCGTCATTGTCACAAATCAACGATCGCCCACCTATGATCACATTGTAAATCAAAGCATTGCGTTTGGCTACTTCGCCAAGGTGCAGGCAACGCCCATGCGTAGCGCCCAGGTGCTGGCTGCCGGTGCGGAGCCTTATTTGGGTTTCTTTGAGGCCGAGGAGGGCTACAAGACAGTATCGCTGGGCGAGGTGGCCAAAGACGTTATTGGCATGGCGTACAAAAATTTACTGGGTGGCCTCTTCAGGCGCGCGCCGGAGGCAACGGCAGACCAGCCCGATCAGATGCCGCTGCCCAGCAAGGAGGCGCCCATGCGCACACGCTGCCGCCTGTACGATGGCAAACGTGACGGGCTCACCCTGGCTTTGGCGCCTGGCAGTAAATTGGCCGCCGTTACGGACAATCTGGACCGCGTGATGTTGGTGGACACACAGCAGGCGATTATATTGCGCGTCTGGAAGGGCTATCGGGATGCACAGTGCGCCTTTATGCCCATTAAGGAACGTTCTGTGCGTGGCATTAAGACGCACAAGCGCAAGGCGCTCTTCCTGGTCATCTATGCGCCGCGCCTGGGCTGCCTGGACATATGGGCGCTGCAGAATGGTCCCAAAGTGGCCGCATTTAATGTGTCCAAGAGTGGCCAGCTGGTGTACAATAATCATAGCCCTCTGGGCGCTGCGGGCGTGCAGATGCGCCGCTCGCCCAATTTGAATCATTGCCTGTTTCTGGATCCCAGCGATGCCAGCCTGAAGGAGGTGCACATACCATTCCACTATGCACTCAGCGAGACCAACTCTCAAACATCCCGGGATATACACTCGCTGCGCCGCCTGCGCAATCTACTGCGCTCGCTGACACATTCTGGCGATGACAGGCAGCAGCAGATTGCCGCGATTGCCCAGCTTGCTGGAGAGCTGGAAACCCTGGAAGTGCGTCAGCAGTGCCTCGAGATGTTGCTGAAAAGCAAACGCCTGCAGCCGGAATTGTTTCAGAGCATTGTCGATGCCCTTGGCCAGGCCAAGGAGCATGAGGAGGATGCCGCCACCCAAGAGTTTCTCCAGCAAATCGCCAACTACAAACGTTTGACCGATCTCTACCTGACACTGAGTCGTGCCCAGCAGCAGTGCGGCGATAGCGTTACGCCGCCAGTTGAGCTGCTCGAGCTCTCCGACGCAGATTTGGTGACCATCAATCAGCTGGTCATTCTGCTGGAAAATGGCGAGGAGAAACCACCAATACGTGAGGTTAGCTTTCAGCTGCAGGACGCACACAGAGTGGAGGAGTTTGTGGATTATCTAAGCATCTTTAACATCGATACGCCCAACTGTGTAACACTGCTGCCATCGAAGTCGGATAAATATGGCAGCGTTAGCTCTGATCTATTTGGTCATTTCCTTACCCAGGGCCTGTGCCTTGAGCAGTTCAAGCAGTGGGCCACCGACGCGTGCATTCCCAGCAAGGATCTGCTAACGTTGGTCATCTACTTTTGGCTGGAAAAGCCCTTCAAGTATAACAACTGGTAAGAGAAGTAAATAAGAGTAAGATCTACTTTAACAACCCCCCTTTTCTCACCCACAGTGATGAGGTCGTCGAGGATATGTCACGCATTGCGTCCATGGTGCGTGTCATCTGCGAGCTGGCCGGTGAGCACATCAACGACTATGCCTACAATGCCATCTCGCCGTGGTGGCAGCAGGTGC